GGGTGGCAATAAAGATGGGGTTAGGGTTGATTGGGGGATGGCTGGGGCTGGGAATAGGGGTGGGAATGGGGATGGGGCTGGGGACCCCTTGGAGGTTTGGAATGGGAACTAGGGGTGGACATGGAGTTGGGGTGGCAAGGGGAGACAGGGTCAGGTTTGGGAATGAGATTGTGGATCTCATCCCAGGAGATGGGAATGGGATGGGTGGCTGGAAACCCAGGCCCTGCCCCCTGACCTGGCAGGAATCCTTGCCCTCTTCCCGAACACTGGCACACACCATGGTGTCCGTGATGTTGCCAGGGTAGGCCTTCTCACACTCCTCCTGCTTAATGATGGTGATGTTGGCGCATCGCAAGGCATGGGGCAGTTTCACTGTGGAAATGGCATGAAGGGGTGTGGAAAACGAGAGCCCCTGGTCCCCTTCCCCACCCTGTAGTGCCTGCCTTGCACCCACGCCACAGCCAGTCCCTGTCCTTCTTGCTTGCAGCCAACTCATTTCTGTGCTCGTAGCAATAGCACCGGTAATGGTACCGAGTAAATGTATTATGCCAGTCGTTCTAGATACACTCTCTCTACTCCAGCCCTAGTAGGTGGGTGTGATTATCCTCATTTTATAGAGAAGAAAACCAAGGTTCAGAGAGGGGAAGCCACGTGCCTGAGGTCCTACAACGAGCAGGTCGTGGATCTGGCATTGCACATCATATCTGTCTGACCCCAAGGCCCAGACTTTTGTCTCCACGCAGCCCCCCAGCTCTTACGTTTTCCCTCTTCTTTTTGACTTATCCCACCACTGACACCCCCAGGGATCCCCGTCTCATACTCTCGTACTCTGGGACTCTCCCCTCTGCAGGTTCCTCTGGTTCCCTCTGTCCTTCCACAACCGGGATCACCCGCCCCCCTCCATGTCCCCCTCTGGAGCCCCTACACTGGGGGCTGGACGTGGTGCCCCAGCCGGAAATGATGCAGCGGGTGCCAGCAGTGACACAGCTAGATGACAGGGTGAGCGGTCGGACGGCCCCAGTGATGACGGCTGCTGTCGTCATCTTCACCAGCATGATGTCATTGCGGTGGTCTTTGTTGGGGAGGCTGTTGTTGAAGTCTGGGTGGGGGAAGGAATCAGTGGCCATTCGGGTCTGCTCACAGCCATCCCGCTGCTGGAGGTTGTGTTCCCCCAGATGAACCACGTATCGGCTGAGGTGGGAGAGAGGGCGGTCAGAGATGGAAGGTCAGGGAGAGGCAGGAGAGGGGAGGTGGGGAGAGACATGGGGGAAGGGGAAGGGATGAGAGCCCCGGAGAGAACAAAGGAACACAGCCCCACTTCCGACCTCATCCCCACTTCCCACTGAACCCCTCCCCAACCATATCCCCATTCCAGCACCATCCCAGGTCCGACGGCTTCCGTCCTTCCATCCTGTCTTGGTGTCCATCATCCACGCTACCCCACCCGCGCCCATCTTGGACCCCATCCTATCCTCCCCATCCCCAAGCCCCTCTCCATCCACCCCAAGCCCCTCTCCATCCATCTCTCCATCTCCAGCCCCCTGCCGGCCCGCCCCAGCCCCCGCACCCACGGCTTGCGGCAGTGAGCTGCTGTCAGGAGCCATTTGGGAGCGATGAGGGTTGCCCCACAGAGCAGCCGTGTCTTCTGGAACAGAGCCACCTGCCAGGGCTGGGAATGAGGAGAGCACTCATACCCCTTGATGATCCTGGTCTCTCCCCCTACATGCCCTGGAGGGGAGTGAGGGCAAAAGAGGGGGCTCAGGCATGAGACAACTCCCAGAAGCGGGGGTGGGGAGAGCAGACAAGGGGTGGGTGGTCTGGGTCTCAGCCTGGTGTCCCACTGGGAGGCACTGTCTGGATAGGCCAGCCAGGTATTAAACGACCGAAATCCTTCCGTACTGCTTGCAAGGTCAGTAGCTACCGTTCTGCACTGTTGGAGTGTCTTCTGCCCCACTGCAGCTGCCCCGGCCCCTCCCCTGGGACCCTCCTTGACCTCTCCCCATTCTAGCATCTAAAGGGATTATGCAGCAAGGGGCATCGGGACCTTATTATTCATTTAGGTGCCCTATGGGTTATTCTATATTTTCAGCATTGGCTCAGTCAATATCCAGATATAGAGGGTTGAGGGAGCCTAGAGATTGGAGAGGGAGGCCCCTGCCCTCCCCCATCCCCCACTGTACCTGTCAGCAGAGCAAGCATGATTAATCGAAGAATCATCCTGGCCCGGAGAGGGGAAGGGCAGGCCCCAGGTTCTTCTGGGAACAAGAAGGGACAAGGGGCCCAATCACTTTATGGGGAGACTATGGAGGGGCTGGTTCATGCCCTCTCCTCCCTCCCCAGCCTGCTCTGGCTGCCCCCAGGGAGAAACAACAGGGTTGGAGGAATACCCAAGTTCTCACAGCATCCCAGCCTCCAAACCTTTAAAACAAATCTTTGGTATCAAGGTGGACTTGGAGGGGCCTGATCTCAGCTAAAAGCTTCTCATAGCCAGAGCCAAGGAGGATGTGGCAGATGCTGTGAGGGGCTTTGGCTGGGGCAAGGGATTAGCTGGCCCTGTTTTAAGTCAGCCATAGTACCTGTGAGATGCATCTGGGAGAATGTTTTCCTTCTTGCCCTCCTGAGACCTGGCCAGGCCCCCCCAGCCCCATTCTGCATCCACCCCAGGGTGATATGGGCCCTTTGAGGGCTGCCCAGTGTGCAGTAGGGGGCTCAGCCTGGGACGGTGTTCGGGCCCTGTCCTTCTGAATCCCTGCCCCTTTGAAGGACAGACAGCTGGAACTGGGCGGGGCTGGTCAGGGGAAGGGCTAGTGCCCTCAGCTGCCCTGGCCTGCAGGGGGGTGGGGTGGAGGGCTGGATTCAGCTATCAAAGAGGGGATCAGAGGTCACTGAAGTCGGGGGCAGGGCAGCCAGTTGGAGAGACAGAGAGGCAGAGAGCACCCACCCAAGCCGAGAAGGACAGAGCAGAGGGAGAAATGGTGTGGAGGCAGGGAGGCCTGACTTGCTCCAGGAGCACAGGCGCCCACAAGAGGGTCTTCCCTTCCCTGCCCGACTCACGGGCTCTGGGACTGGGGCCCTGGGTGCTGGGTTGGTGGCGGCAGCAGCCGTGGCGGTTTGGGTCAGAGGCAGATTGCGTCAGAGCATCAGGTGAAAGGCAGGTGCGGGGTGGCCCTGATGACTGGGACTCCTAGCCCTGCCTTACCGCCCTGGGGATGGGGTGTGTGTGCCTGCCGGCCTGCCTCTGTCACCTCTCCAAGCCCCTCTTCTCTCTGTTTCTCCCCCCCACACCCCACCCCGCATCCGTCCTGGTCTGTCTCTCTCTTCATCTCTGCTGGTTGCTTCCTTTCTGTAACTCCGTGGCCATATTTCTCTTTGCCTCTCTGTGCCTGTGCCTTTCCGTCCTTTTGTCTGTCTCTGTGTCTCTCTCAGTATCTCTCTGCAGGACTCCTTTAATCCTTTATCTTTCTTTGTGTCTCTCGGTCTCGGCCTCCCTCCACCTCCTCTCTCTCCCTCCACCTCATTCTCCCAGGCACTGTGTCTCTCCTCCTGTCCCTGCTCCTCCCTCCCCACAGCCCAAGCCCAGGTGGGCCCCTGGCTTCCTCTGGGCCCTCCCTTCTCCATTCCAAGGAGAGGGGGAAACTGGGGCGTCACAGAGGTGGGGCTGCTGCCAGCCGAAGGAAGGGGCAGGACGGGAGGGTGGGGGAGGCAGGTTGGGGCCTGTGGGAATCAAGGCCCAGGAAAGGGAGTCAGCCCTCTGCAAGGCCCCAACCCCTAGCGCTCCTCTGGGGCTTCACTTCTGCCCCCTTCCCTTCCCTCCGCTCCCCCCTCCTGCCTCCGCCTCCCGGGAACCCTGGGGCGCCCCCAAGCCCAGCTGTGGCACTTACTCGCTGCGAGACTTAGGTCCGATGACTTCCGAATCTGAGCCACCTCAATTTCCTGTCTGCCAATCCCTCTATTTCTGGGCCTGCTCTCTGTCTTGTCCTCCTCTCTCCCCTAACCAGAAGTGGGGCAAGACGACTGGGTATAGGTTCCTAAGGCAGCCAGCCCTGGCCTCAAACCCTGGCTCTGCCTCTTCCTACCACAGTGACGTGAGCCAAGGAACTCCACCCTGGTGAGGCTCAGTTTCTTCATCTGCGACATGGGGGGACAGCCCTGCCTTGGGGTGGTTGGGATGAAGACTCCAGGAGAGGTATCCAGCAAGTATTCCCTCGCTGTCACCACCACCCCTCACTCTCCCACCCCAAATTCCCCTTCCATTCACTGGGGAGAAGCTCCCTTTGCACCTCCTGGATGGCGGTGAAGACAGAACCCAAGGGGTGGGCAGGATTACTTTAAGACCTAGGCTGGTTCCTCTTGCTTTCCAAGGCTACACCCGCCTTCCATCATCACAGACATATTAAAACGAACCCACATCCCACATTAAATATAATGTGTGCTCAACAGCTCTAGCAAAGCCAAGTTGGAATTGGCTAGGTGGAAGAATGTTACATTTTATAGACATTTAATTAAATGGTCGTGAATTTTGATTTTGCAATTTTCATTTGGTATTTTGGGGCCAATAATTTCCCCCCTCCTCAGGTCCTTCATGGGCACTGTTCCTAAAGTGCTGGATAGAGGGAAAAAAAAAAAAAAGGCCCTTATTTTTATTGTTATAAGTAACCTTTTCTCCTCCGTTCCTGAGTGACCCCTAAGGGAAAACTCTTGCCCTCTGTGGTCTCTATTCCTACACCTGTGATTGGGGGACTGATGAGCCTCCCTCCTGTGTCAACCAGCACGGGGATATCAAATAGACAGACATAGCTCGTTATATTTATTCCAGGAAGTCACACATTCCTTCCTCCGCCAAACCTGGGACTTAGGGCTGGCTGGAGTTGGGAGTTCTGGGAAGAAGATCCCCAGTCCAAGGGGAGCTGGAGCCAGGGGTGATAACGGAGCACGCGCTGGTGCTCCGAGGGTCAGTCAGTGTGGCCCCCAAGCTGAGGGGTGGAGGTGGAGGGAGCAGGTTAGTTGTTCCTCATGACCATCCGGATCCAGTCCACATATTTGCAAACATTGGTGTAGACCCCTGGGATGCCTTCTTGCCCGCAAGGCTCCACGGTCCCCCAGGACACCAGACCCTGAAGGACTCCTCCGCACACCAGGGGGCCCCCAGAGTCGCCCTGGAATACAGAAGGAGAAGCAGCACCAAATGAATAAGGGAGAAATCCTGTTCCCATTGTCCTTGCCCCGACCCCCAAACCCATTCCCAGGCCCTGAAGACAGAGGATCCAAGCCTGGTTATCAGAGAAGAGCACTGCCGCGTCCCCCACGTTCCCTCCACAGCAGTGACTGATCAACAGGGAAGAACACGCTGTTCCTAGGGCGCCAATCCCAGGGAAGGCCGGACTCCATAAAAGGTGGGGGACGGGGTCTCTCGGGGACAATGGCTGGAGCTCTGACCAATGAGTATCTTCAACGACCAATCCCAGCAAAGGAGGCGGGGACCTATAAGAATTCTATAGAGGATGACTGGCTGGTGTGCTGACCAATGAGGGAAAGAGCACCACCATCAGTGACCAATCCCAGCAAAGGAAGGCGGGATCTATAAAGGTTCTCTCAGGCACAAAGGCTGGAGCCTCAGCCAGTAGGGCGGGGCAGCCTCCAACCTGGAGGAGCCGAGGGAGCAAGGGAGCCGAATTCGAGGGCACGAGAGACCACCAGCCTCCTTTCCTGCCTCCATGCTAGATTCTCTCGCTCTTGCCTGAGCCAGCATCAGTTGGAGGATGGAATGGGGAGAGACAACCGGTTACACACCTCAGTTCCAAATCTCTGCCACCTCTTTGCCCTCCCCCACCTTCTCTTCCTCTTCCTCTGGCTCTCCTGTGCCCCTCCCATCTGTCCTTCTCCGTTCCCTCCCTCCCTCTGTTCTCTCCACCCACCCCTCCTTCTCTTTGTCCTCCATCACCTGGCTCTTCCTGCCTTATCCTGCGCCTCCGGATCCAGAAGGAAGGTCCTTCTGACCACATCTCTCTCTCCCCCCATCCTCCCTGCTCTGTGCCCAGCTTCCCGCCCTGGGTGACCATGCGTTGCCGGCATTCACTCACCTGGCAGGCGTCCGCCCCTTCCGTGCCGCTGGCACACACCATGTTGTCCGTGATTCTCCCGGGGAACACAGCCCGGCAGGTGGCACTGGAAACGATGGAGACATTGAGGCATTGCAGCAGGTCCGGGAATGGGTCTGGGGGTGGAAGACAGAAGCCACAGGGTTTCCCAAAGCTTCCCATTTGGGGGCCACCTCCCACTACTCAAGGAAGCCAAATATAAGTCTATACCCTGCCCTTTTCCTATGACCCCCCACTACAATCTGCAAACGTTTAAATTTCAGATTTATTACTTCATTTCATAGTGACCCTTGCCCCAGTTCATTGACCCAGTCCCCCGACCTTTAACCTATGACTGAGTGCCATAACTCAAGACACCCTTTGTCCCTCCAACCTCAGAAGCAATGAATCCAGACCCACTTTTCTCCTTAAATTCCAGATGCTGTGACCTTTGACCTTCAATCTTATTATACTTAGGTCCCAACTTGACCTCCTGTTCCCTCTCTGTCTCCAGACCCCACACTCCTCGTCTTCTCTTAAACTTCTAAACTCAGCGATAAACCATTGGTGCCAACTCCAAAGTGACTTATTTTCCCTGTTTATTTGAGCCGGGACCTCATGACCCCTAACCTCTAGGGCTTCCAATCCCAGACCAGTGATCCCTGATCGAACCCAGTTTCCACCCTCAGATTATGGCCAGCTTGTGCAACATCTGGATCCCATGTCCTCAATTCTACAGTGACCTCTAACACTCGAGTCCATGACCCATTACCCCAAGATCCTATTTATATATGCCTTTTGCTCCAGTCTGATGACCCCTGCCATAACTCTGGCCTACAACCACATCCTGACCCATGACTTCTGACTCTATACCCAACCCCTTAACCACTTTGACTCCCAAGACCCCTGGCCCACCATGATCTCTGACCCCACACCACAGTCCTCATGTTTGACCCTTGACACAGCCTTCTGTTGAAATGGCATGGCTCCTGATCTCTTGCCCTACACCCCAGACTTTGCCCATCCTGAGCCCTGACCCTGATGTCCCCTTACTCCATAGTTGATTGGTGATGCCCCAGCCTGAGATCTGGCACTTGGTGCCGGCCGCTGCACAGGTGGTGGGCAGGGGCAGGGGCTGGATGCTGCGAGTCAAAGGGACGGGGGTGCCCAGTCGCAGGAGCCGGAGGTCATTGTCATGGTTATGCAGGGCTCCCTGGTAGCCAGGGTGGGTCATGGAGAAGCCGCTGCGCCGGATCTGCTCCGTCCAGTCCAGCCTGGTGAGGCTGTGCTCCCCCAGGCGCACCCAGTACCTGCTGGGGGTCAAGGTGGCTCAGTGAGGGTGGGGTGGGCCCCTGGATCCCCGGCCTCCAGCCTCTCTGCTGTTCTGCATCTCAGCGTCTGTCCTCACGCCCTCACAGCCTTGCTCTGTCTCTCCCGTCTCTCACCATCTTTCCGTTTCCTGGGCTTGCCTACTTCTCCTCCCCGAGCCCCTGCATCTCTGTCCCTTCCTGATCCTCTTAGCTGAGGCAGAGACAACCCACTGTCCTACTCACTGCTCTGTTCTTACCGCCTAGAGGCTGCCTGGGCTGTCAGCACCCTCAGCTGAAGGAACGAGTGAGTAATGAGTGGACTCTCTCTGTTCTGTCCCTGAATCAATCCGTCTCTTCATGTCTGAAACTTCCCTTTTGAAAAAAACCTCGAAGTTTCAGACCGAAAAAGCCCAATCCCTTCATTTTACAGATGGGACCGCTGCGGCCCAGAGAGGTTGCCCAGACTGGGTCAGAGAAAGGCTGGGATGGTGACAGAGGTCATCTGGGAAGGAAGGGGAACACAAGGGAATGGAGCAGGTAGGTGGGCAGGTTCCAGGACCCTTCCTACCCTCCCCACCTCACCCCGGCCCATTGTTGAGGAAGTCTTACTCTTTGTCTAGTCTCAGACCTTCTTGTGGCAGGACCATCTCCCTACTCCATGGCACCCCCCTCTCCTGAGCCCTTACCCTGAGGGCTCCCTTTCCCACCACCTTTCCTTTGCCTACCCCTAGAAGGGACCATCCAGACAGGGGCTTACCTGCCACTGCAGTGAGCCGCTGTGAGGACCCACCTGCGGTCAATGAGGACCCCCCCACAGCGCAGGCGGGTGCCCTCAAACAGCCCCACCTGCCAAGGCTGCGAGTGACGGGCACACTCCTTGCCTTTGATAATCTTCTCTGTGGCCGGTTGACTGAGCCCTGAGGACGGGGTGTGGGCCAGAGAGATGGGGTCAGAGATCTAGAGACTGGGAGTCAGAGATAGGAAGAGAGATGCAGAGATGAAGACACAGAGAGGCAAGAGAAAGAGAGCCCCTGAGAGAGAGTGAGGGTCAGGGAGTCACGGACCCAGTGACAAATACGAAAAGACCCAGCAGTGCCCAGAGACACAGAGAGGAAGAGAAAGAGAAAAAGGCAGAGAGATATTTAAAGATAAGAGGGAGACAGAGACAGAGATCCACAGAGAGAGAGAAAGGACAGAGGCGTGGTGACAGGAAGACACAGAGGAGAGATAGTTCAAAAGATACAGGGGGACAGAGGTGGCAGGGCCCCAAGAGGTGGAGGTGATCGGAGGTACAGAGGCAGCCCCTTGCCCTCCTCCGTGCCAGGCTGGGGACAAGACCTGGAAGGGGAGATGGGGCTCCCATCCTCCTGGGGAACTCACCAGTAACAGAGAGGAGCAACAAGATGCTGGAACCCAGGGTGGCCTGCCTCCAGGTCCTGGGAAACGTGGGGGATCTCAGAGATGGCCCTTTCCCTGTCAACCCACCCCTTGCTTTGCCCACCCCTCCCACCAGCAACTCCCAAGAGGACAGGATGCCTGCCCATCCCTCTCTGTCTGTCTTGGGTGTCACCCTATTGGTGACCACCTGCCCCCTCCTCACCTTGTCCGTCTGCCTGCTGGGACTTCCATGTGGCTGTCACAGTTTCAGCCTGTCTGTCTCTGTTATCTGTCTGTCCACTACCTGCCTGTTCTGTCATCCACCTGCCACCCTGCCAGTCAACTCTCCCACTGTCCACCTGGCTTCTCAGCCACCTGTCATGCTGCCCCACCTGTCCCCCTCCTTCCGTCTGTCTGCCCCAGACCGGCAGGTGACACAGCTTTTAACTCTCTTTGTCCCAGCCCATGCAATTTCCTGGTTGAGGGAAGGGGAGCAGGAAGACATGGGGTGGGGCACCCTCTAATCCTGTAGAAACTCTTCTCAGCTAATGGCACCTAATTGAGCTTTACAACTAAATGGGGGGGGGTGGAGGGGGCCAGGACGGTTGTGGGGCGAAGACCCAACCCCACTCCTTCTCCCCTCCTCTCCAAGCCAGCGCCAGAGACCCATGAC